GGGATTAACCCCACTTGATCATGGTGAATGATCATTTTAATGAGCTGCTTATTTGGTTTTCTAGTACTTTGTTGAGAATTTTTGCATCTATATTCCTCAGGGACACTGGCCTGTAGTTTTCTAGTGGTGTCTATCTGGTTTTGGTATCAGGATAAAGTCGACCTTGTAAAATGAGTTTAGGAGTCTTCCCTCCTCTTCAGTTGCTTTGAAGGGTTTGGTAATTCACCAGTGACGCATTGTGGACCTGGGCTTTTCTCTTTGTGCAATTTTTGATTTCTCATTCAATTTCCTTACTAGTAACTAGTCTATTCAGGTTTTCTATTTCTTCCTGATTCATTCTTGGTACATTGTATGCTTCCACCTTATATGTTCATAGTAGCCACTTAAAATCCTTTGTATATCTATGGTATTAGTTGTAATGTCTCATTTTTCATTTATAATTTTGTTGATTCAGGTCCCCTGTTTTTTTCCCCTTGGTTAGTCTAGTGAAGGTTTTGTCAATTTTGTTTATATTTTCAAAGAACTAATTCTTAGTTTGGTTAATCCTTCCTATTGTTTTCCTGTTCTCTATTTCATTTATTTCTGCTCTGATCTGTATTATTTCCTTCCTTCTGCTAACTCAGTTTGTTTTTTTAAGGCTTAGAGTTTGGTTTATTTATGATCTTTCTTGCGTCTTATTGTAGGCATTTATTGCTATGAACTTCCCCTCTTAAAAGTGCTTTTTCTGCATTGCATAAATTCTAGTATTTTATATTTCTGTTTGTTTCAAGAAACTTTATTTCCCCTTTAACTTAATTCTTTGATCTATTGGTTTTTTAGGAGAGTTTTTAATTTCTATATATGACTGAATTTTCCAGTTTTCCTTTTGTTATTGATTTCTAGTTTCACACTATTGTGGTCCGAGAGGATACTTGTAATTTCAATCTTCTTGTATTTGCTACAACCTTTTTTGTGTCCTGATAGATGATCTATCCTAGATGTTCCATGTGTACTTGAGAGGAATGTAGATTCCCCTGCTGTCAGAATGCTCTGTATATGTCTGTTAGGTTCATTCAGTCTATAGTTTTGTCCAGCTCCACTGTTTCCTTGCTTCTCTGTCTGGATGACCTATCCATTGTTGAAAGTGGGGTATTAAAGTCCCCAGCTAGTACTGTACATATTACTGTTCATTTCTCCTTTAGCTGTTAGTTTTTGCTTTATATATTTAGATGCCCCAATGTTAGATGCATAGATAGTTAAAACTGTTATATCTTCTTGATGGATTGGCCTCTTTATCATTATATAATGTCTTTCTTTGTCTCTTTCCCATTTTTAATTTAAAGTCCATTTTGTCTGATATAATGTAGCTACTATGCCCTTTTTTTTTTTTTTTTCGGTTACCTTTGTTCGAAATGTCTTTTTCCAGGCCTTCGCTCTCAGCCTATGCGTATCTCCAAGGTTAAAATGAGTCTCCTGTAGGCAGCGTATCTTTGGATATACAGTGGTACCTTGGTTTCCGAATGTCTCTGTTGACGAGCATTTTGGGTTACGAACGCTGTGAACCTGCAAAAAAATGCTTCGGTTTCCGAACACGCCTCGGAAGTGGAACAGGCCCCGCGGCTCCCGCTGAGGGCAGGACCCTGAGGCCCGGCTGGGGGCTGTGGATGCCTCGGTTTGCCAACGTTTCAGAGCTGGAGCGGCCTCCGGAGCGCATCCCGTTCGCAAACCGAGGGACCGCTGTATATTTCTTTATTCATTCAGCCATTATATGTGTTTTGGTTGGATACTTTAATCCACTTTACTTTAATCCACTTACCTTTAGCAATTATTGATAGGTAAGGACTCACTATTGCCATTTTGTTGTTTTCTGGTTGTTCTGAAGCTCCATCCTTCCTTGTTTCTCAACCTGCTGTCTTTTGGTATCAGTTTCTTAACGATGTTCTTTTGTGTACTTGCTAAGGGTTTTCCCCTTGTTGCCATGAGGCTTACATAAAATATCTTAATATTATAGCTCCATATTCTAAGCTGACAACAACTTCAATAGAATTCTGAAATTTGACACTTTTGCTTCCTCCCTCACATTTTAGGTTTATTGTTATAATTTACATATGTTTTATATTGTGTAACTAATAACATTATTGTAGTTATGTTATTTTTACTACATTCATTTTTTTAAACTTTAGAGCCTTAAGTGTATTATGTACCATCATTACTATATTACAGAATCTAACTTTGACTATATATGGACCATTAGCAGTGAGTTTTATATCACCTTTTCATGTTTTTATGATGTTAATTAGTGTCCTTTTACTTCCACTACAAGAACTCCCTTTAGCATTTCTTGTAAGGCAGGTGGAGTTGGGGCAACTGTTCACCCCTCCTTCATTGCTGAAGGAGAGCTGCACCAGGTGCAGAGATCTTGGCTCACAGTTTGTTTTGTTTTCTTTCAGTATTTTTAATATGCCATCCTATTCTCTCCTGGCCTGAGAAGTTTCTAGTGAATAATCTACCAGTAGCCTTATGGAGGTTTCTTTGTATGTAACTTTTCTCTTTTCTCTTACTGTCTTTAAAATTCTTTCTTTGGCTTTTGATCATTTAACTATAATGCACCTCAGTATATAGTTTTGTTCAGATTAAATCTATCTGGAGTCCTTTGCACCTCGTGGATCTGGATGTTTCTCTTCCCAGATTTGGGACGTTTTCTGCCATTTTTGTCTGTCTCTCTCCCCCCTCCTGAAATTACCTTAATGCGATTGTTTTGTGTCTCCTAAGTCCCTTAGGATTTGTTTACTCTTCTCCATTCTTTTTGTTCTTCTGACTAGATCATTTCAAATCCATATCCTCCAGGCCACTGATTTTTATTCATGGTTGAATCTGCTTTTGAAATTCTCTATTGATTCATTCAGTTCAGTAATTGTATTTTTTCCCCCCAAAATGTTTTTTTATTGATTTTAGAGAGAGGAAGGAAGAGGGAGAGAGAGAAACACTGACCTGTTGCCTCCTGTATGCACCTTGGCCAGACTGAACCCACAACCTGGGCATGAGCCCTGACCGGGAATTGCACCTTGAACCAGTGACCTTTTGGTGCACATGACGTTGCTCAACAACCTGAGCCGCACCAGCCATGGCCAGTTATTGTATTTTTTAATTACAGGATTTCTATTTGTGGGTGGTTGTTTTTTAATGGTTTCTATTTCTTTGTCAAACTTCTCCTTTTGTTCATGCATTATTTTCCTAACGTCATTTAGTTGTTTTTGTTTGTGTTCCTGGACCTTACTAAACTTCCTTGAGAGAGTTATTTTGAATTCTTTGACAGCTCATGGATCTCCATTTCTTTAGTCAGTTATGGAAGCTTGTTCATTTCCTTTGGTGGCGTCATATTTGCCTCATTTTTGGTATGTTATCTGTGCGACTGCATAACTGGGCGACCCTTCCAGACGTCACAGGGTTGCCTTGGCAGACACGCTATTGCCAGTCCGCTCCGGGCCTTAGGCGTGTCTGCTGGCACTGCCCGTAGGTAGGTGGTGCCAGCTGCTA